CTTTTGGGAGCATAGAATGTACAATACAACAATGGATTCTGCTGCACTGCAGCAGCCTATAACAACCGGGTGTCCACGGTAGTGGTGGCCCACCCAGGCGCTATCCAGGCTCTTAATGAGACCGGGTGCATTTAGCGTTTCCACCTCTGAGATATAAAAAAACCGGGACATATTGTGGGAAGGAGAATACTGTAATCACATATCTGGTTCTTTTGGTAAAGTCACGTAGGTAGAAAAATAATAGATCACGACATTTCGATGGCAACACAAGCAATCGTCATCAGGTGGGACAACCACAGCAAAGAAAAAACTACTGCAGCAGTTTTTTTTCTTGCTGTGGTTGTCCCACCTGATGACGATTGCTTGTTGTTGCGATCGAAACGTCGTGATACATTATTTTTCTACCTACGTGACTTTACCGAAAGAACCAAAGAGTTAGGATTCCTGCAGTCACGAAAGCTTCAAATCAAGAATGTAATCACATAATATCACAATAGTGGAAGGACGACATGTGAATACATTATACTGGTAAGAACCTCCTGGTTACACCAGCCCACAGGGGATTATTGTGTCCGTCCGTCCGTCGTGCATCCAAAAATTGGCGGGGTGGGGCTGGGTAGAGAGGGGAGGGTGGGGAGGGTGGGGCTGGGTGGGGAGGGGCTGGGTGGGGAGGGAGGGGCTGGGTGGGGGGTGGGAGGGGTGGAGCTGGGTGGGGAGCGGCTGGTCACCCCGTGGTGCCCTTATAAAACACAACGTTTAACCTACTCACGCCGGCTTGTGCCCGCCCTCACAGTCGGGCATATTTGCGTAATACACCACGTGGTGCCGCCGTTGTTGACCCTGGCAATTGACTGAGCAACCCAACGTTCCTACCAGCTCCCTCCGCAGGAATGTTTTATCAATAATCGTGTCCCGCATTAAGTGGGACAGGTTGCAACCCGATCCACATTCCGGGTGTTGTTTTATTTTAAGGGATTAATTTCTCGCTCGATATTTTCCAGAACGCTACCAGAAGCCGGCTTGCAGTAGGATTCTCGGCGTAAGGCACTACCACGAGAGTACAAGGTATAAGCCTATCCAAAATAAGGGGCCGTCCATAAATGACGTCACACACCTAGGGGGGGGGGGGGGGGTGAGAAATGTGACATCACATCAAAATGCGCAACTTTAAATAAATATAGAATTGTTATAACACTAATTGTTTTGATTTAAAGCTTTCGTGACTGCAGGGATTCACATTCTTGGTTCTTTCGGTAAAGTCACGTAGAAGGGAAACAATAAAATAATAAAATTCTCACGACGTTTCGACTGCAACACAAGCAATCATCATCAGGTGTGAAAACCACAGCAAGAAAATTTGAAAAAAACGCCACTTTTTTCAAATTTTCTTGCTGTGGTTTTCACACCTGATGATGATTGCTTGTGTTGCAGTATTATTTTCTTGTTTCCCTTCTACGTGACTTTACAGAAAGAACCCAGAATATACACTAATTGTTATAACAACACTCCTACAACATCAAGAGTGCAGCGCCACATTAAATACGCACTACAATGACAATAGTTTAAAGCGATTTGAAGCATGTTTTATTTTCAAAATGAAAATATGGTTTTGAGGGGGGGGGGGCAGAGCTTTGTGACGTCATATTTGAGGGGGGGTCTGACTTTTTGTGACGCCGTGCGACGAGGGGGGGGGGGTCAAAAATCGTCCAAAATCGCGTGACGTCGTTTATGGACTGCCCCTAATTACATATTTTCACACCGGGCAGCTGAGAGAATGGGGGTCAAGTCGCTCAAATTCCTCCGCCTCCCTCCCCGTCTGTCCACTCGAAACTATAAATGAGTGGATCACGTGTAGAGGGGGTAAAGCGTGGGTAACACCCCCGCCTCTTCCACAAAGGTCTGGTGAACGTGGGAGAGTCGGCACAGAACCCCTCTGGCGTGTGTCGCTCGTGGAGAGGGGAGGCACAAATAGATACTTTCTCGCGGTGCATCCTGGTCACTTCTGGAGTCATTACAAAGAAAGCCAAATCTACTAACCACTCCTAAGTCGACCGTGCCTACCCAAGAAACTCGTGGACAAAAAATCAGTCGGCAAGACTCTACAGGTTGGACAGGAGACACGACTAAGAAGCTGCTAGTAGAGGCGAGGCCCTATCCGCCAGCAGAGAAACGCGCAATTGCTTGGGCTCCTGTTACGTCGCTCTATTCCTTTCATCGTTTCAACAGGCCTACAACAATAAGACGCGTGGACTCGGTGTTGTTTTAATTGCGGGCTTCGTTAGAATCACATTGACCGCGGGTTTCGTTGGCGTTCGCAGTCAAGGATGTGAATGACAACCAAAAAAACAAACACTCGTGGAGCGGGCGGTCCGGACTGTGGGCTGAGATTAACCACTGGTTTAGGGGATTACCCACTGGGTTTGGGGGATTCGGCCCTCGTGCTACCGTCTCGGGGTTCCCGGGACCCCTCCGGAGAGCCCCGTGAGAGGACTGGTTGGAGGAAGGAAGGGGTAGGGTTATGGGGTCTCGGTGGGCACCTTGGAATGCCCGAGTCTCCGTGGAAAGCGAGAGCGGGCCTCGGGGTGCCCTTGAGGCGCGCTCGGCACGCGGAGGTCGAGAATGCGTGCCCGGCAAGACCCTCAGAGCCGTGGGACCCCGTTCGGATCCCCCCTTCCCTACCCCTACACCCCCCTTCCCACCCCTCCACCACCGGTAGACGGTGGCCCGCGGGCTCCGTGACCCCAAAAGTGGCGGCGCTTTCACTTGGCGGGGGCGGAAAGCGGAGCGGCGGCGCCTTTTACAGAGTGCACCCAACAAGGGTCCGCCCAGCGTCGCCGCTTGCTGTCCCGATAGAGAAAGTGTACCCAAAAACTATCGACCCAGTGTCGCCGAATCCTGTACTGGCTCTATATGCGAGTCAATTGGTCCGTGCGATTTTACAGGTCTGAATGAGTACATGGCCCTCTATGTGATTCTACAATTCTGTATTCGAGTATATAGGTCTCCATGCGAGTCCTAAGGTCTGTATGCGAGTCCTTGGGTCTCTGTGATCCTATAAGTCTGTGTACCTAATCCACGGGTCTCTATGCGAGTCCTTGGGTCTTTGTGATCCTATAGGTCTGTGTACCGAGTCCACGGGTCTCTATGCGAGTGTCACCAAAGAAAAAGGCTACTGAGGACGTTGTGAACGGCGCAGAACATGGCCCCGTCCAAAGTCGGGAAAGGTCCGGGACAACGCGGGGAGCTACCGTCCACTATCCCTGCTGTGTGTGAGCGGCTGTCGCCTGCCTCGGCAAGACCTGGGTCATAATCCTGTGCAGTATTACTACTACTACTGTGCGAGTCTCTGGGTCTCCCTACGAGAAAGGGTTACTATAAAAAACTAAATTGTGGTAAGTTCCATTGAGCTATATAGCTATTTTTCAGAAGCGACCCGGCCATAAATGATAGCTTAACGAAGTTGGCTTATGTGGCAGCCAAATACTCTAAACGTACGATGCTAAATGTGAAGGGAAAACCCAGAGGACCTGGAGAAAAATCCACACGACCACGGGGAAGACAGGCACGCCAACTACAAATATACAGGGCATCAGGGTTGGGATTGAACCCACGACCTCCTGTATACCAGGCTGAGGTAGTTAACATCTCGCCACCGTTGGCACCCCCAATCCTCGACTCATTGTCAAGCACCACGACGTGAGGGCGACTGTGTCACCCCCTAGTGGACACAGCCCCGATATGCGGCTGTTTTGTTAAGCAGATGCCAGAGCACGGTAGGTGAGCGGGCAACAACAAAACAGCACCGTCAAAGTTGTAATGGATAAGGGTGCGTGTAACGGGTGTCTTGAATTGAGCAAGGTTATTATCATGAGAGCTTTAGAAACGAGACGATGAGAAAGAATGAGTGCAGCAGTAAGAGACGAGCAGAAAGAAAAGTGTTGCGTAGTGTGGCGGGTGATCGCGTGGCGAGTGGGTGGGGTGAGCGTTGTATTGACCTGCAGTCTGGTGGTGGGTTGACCAACGAGACGAAACAGTCAGTCTGGTAGTACTCAACCTGGGTGCATCAAGCAGTGAAGTTCACGGAAACAATATCCATGGAAGTAGCAAGATAGTCGAGTGACAAGGAGGTGACTGACCGCCGGACAGCGAGTGGAGCTAATCGGCGAGCGCTGGGCTAGATCAGATCACCCCGACGTCTGCTTCCCTCCGATTGCTACCCCAGTGTAGCAGCATGGTAGCAGCTTCACCGACCACAGCGACAGGTTGGCACCAGCAGCAATGGCACAGAAGAGAACGCCCGTTGGCACACTGTCCTTCCCGTGGTGTGGCCTTAAGATTGGCCGGCCTGCGTGCTGGCCGTAGGGCCTGGCTGCTGCTGGGGTGGGCTCTGCACCACCAAGTATCCCTTGTGCCCAGCCAAGGCCACTCTCTCACTCGGCGGTGAACCACTCTCATGGTGGACCGCGCCCCCCCAACCCCGCCACACAACATCTCCACCGGCCCCCACCATCCCAGAGCAGCTGGAGTCCGGCCTGGGAGGTACAGCAACAGGGTTGCGCTCCCCTTCGGAAAACCCCCTGATGTTGAGCGCAAAATCGAGAAGAGCAAATAAACTACAAAGAAATGGAGGCACCGAACCGCCGTGCGTGCACGTGTAGCCACGTGGCCGACGCTAGGCTGCGCAGATTTCTATTCAACTGTGAATTCCAGCTACACGGGATGTTAATATACACTCCCACCATTCGCATCGGCGTGAGTAGGGGGCAGGTGGCATCGGTGTGACGTGGGGGCCCACCCACCACCGCGTCTCACTCCACCCCAGCCTCTCGAGCAGCGGGGGTAGCGATAACCGAGCGCGGGGCGGTGCAACTGCACCGGGGGGTTCGTGAGCCCGAGAGGGCCCGGGGGGGGTGGGGGGCGGGGGCTACAACCCCACGCGAGCACCACCACCACCACCGCAGGGCCCCGGGCTGCGAAGAAACGACGACGTGACGCGTCGCGTTGCAAAAGGAACAAACAGTTTATTATTTCTTACAAGATCTAAATACTTGCATTCGTGTTCTCAGCAATGTACACATCACAGGAGTCACGCCTCCCATACATTATTATGTGCACAATTTTTTCTCTTTTTTAAAAAGCAAAAGAGTACATAATATACAAAACAAAGCTCGGTATCCTCGGCACGGAATCCCTGTGCTCTGCGCGTGTGGGGGGAATCCACAGCCAGAGGAATCCGATGCTGGCTTTGTCGAGTGCCGGCTCCCGTGTGTGTGTGTGCGCGTGAGTGCGTGTGTGTGTGTGTGTATGTAGGCGGGCGAGCGAGTGTTTGTGGTCCCCCTGCAAGTCCACCCGAGGGGGGGGGGAGGGGGGGAGGGGGGCGGGGGGGAACCGGGTGAGAAAAGAAGTCGCCCTCCTTCTGCACCGTCCACCGCCCACCACCACCCCCCACCCACCCACCCACGCCTTCTTTCTCCACCGCTGCCTCCTCTTCCTCATTGCAGGTCCCTGTCCTCCAGGTACCGGTACTCGAATGTAAACCCTTCCTTCTTGCGCTGGCCCCACTTCTCGTAGTCAAAGTAGATATATGTTCCCTGGACGGCGACAGACAGGGGCGGGTGGTGGTGGTGGAGAGAGAGAGAGAGAGGGGTGAGAGAGGGGAGGTTTGACCGCGATGCCGCCGCCGACGCCGCCGCAGCCCTCCCCCCCCCGAGCGGCGTCGGGGAGCTTCTCATGCAAATCGAGGAACGAAAGCGAAACAAGGGGATGCGCGACACGGCGACAAAATCAACCACGACACACGACAATGTCCCCCGTTCGAGAAATGCAACGTGGGTTTTTAAGAGTGACCCTGATCTGGAAAAGGGGGGTGGGCGGGGGGGGGGGAGGGGTGAGCCAGCGAATCCCGTTTCATGGAGTGACCGGCCCGGATGCGATTGTTCGCGAGAGACGCCTATTCACGGACGGCTGAATTACAACTGTTGTCAAGTCGTCGTCGTCGTCGTCGTCATCGCCGTCGTGTTGCTATAAATAAATTGACCGAACGATGTTTGTTATCATCATCGTCGTCGTCGTGGCTCGACTGCTGCCGGCAATCAAAGATGTTTGTCCCGTCGTTCTGCTCTTAACTCGAGGGCCAAAAGCAGTACATAGTAAGGCCCCCTGTGCGCACGGCCGCAGCGGCGGGACGTCAACCAAAGGGAATTTTCGCCTGAGTTTGTCATCGTCATCACGTCGCATCATGATAAATCCACCGCCGGATTAAGGGCCTCCCCAAGCTGCCGCTATCTCCCACGGTCCTGCGATGTAACGATCCACCCAGCGGGCCTGCACATGAGCCGATTTCATCGCTCCGTCTCCAAGGTGGACGTGAACCCCTGGCGCGCGCGCTCCCTCGTTTGGTTAGTCTCGACTACCGCTGCCCGTCGTCCCATCTGGCCGTGACGTGCCCTGCCCAAGCTCGCTCACTTTCACGAGCGGTCAATAGCAACGTCACTAACTCGCACGCGTTCTCTAATCCACGCGTTCTCTAATCCACGCGTTCCTCTTTCTGTTTCTCTCATTAGCAATCGAATAAAAACGAAACGTATCGGACTGGCAACCCTACACTGATTGAGGAGGCAGGAACGACTCCGAAAGTTGGAGGTGGGGATTGATTTGTAAATAATCCTTCTTGCAGGTAAATATTCACATTTTTCTTGCTCGTAAAATACTGTTTGTTTTGCAAAAATATTTTGTCAATAAAAAGATAATTCCATGATCACCGCAATTTACTTCTCTCCCTGTGTTCATCCGCTTAGTTATTTTACTTAACTTTTATCCCATGCTTTAAATTATTTACATCCCAGGTCTCCTTTGCTATAGACTTGCTTTCCCCAATGGGCTGTCACGCTTTTAAATAACATACCATGTGTGTGTAATATACGTTTGTGTGTATGTATGCAATGGTATCTGTACATGTAAGTCTTATGTATGAAACCTGCGTTTGTACATGTATTTATATGTGGATGAATATATATATGTTCCAAACTGTATAAATTACAACGAATGAACTTCAAAGTTACAAGAAACGGCAAATAAAATTAAAGATTTAACAAACGGTCATTTGGTGTTTTGGCACCAAAGTTGTGGGACAGCTGACCCGGAAGTTTAATTTAATGGACCTGCAAATCACCTTAACTTATGACTAAATTACAGGACAGGCGTTATTTTCAGGCACTGCAAGGAGAATTAAAATGGACTGGACGAACAAATGAGAGCGGTCTCGAGTAGGGTCGCTCAACGGACATCGATAAAATACCGATCGTCGCTTTCGGACTCCATCGTCGATTCCACACTCGCGGAATCGACGATCGAACCCGGTGCAAGTTTAGTAACGAACCTACCGATTGGCACGCGTGAACGTTCAAACCGCACGGCTGTCATCAGTCACCGCGCGGTACGTTCCAACAGACACACAGACACACACGCACAAATACAGGCTGCACTTTTACGTTCATTGTTAAGACATTTCCATCATCATCATCATCGCCATCCTCATCAGCCATGATCAATCCACTGCTGGATGAATGCCTCTGCCCCCCCCCATCCCCCCCCAAAGTCGTCGCCACCTCTCACCAGCATGCAATGTAACGCTCCGGCTAGCGCCTGCACACAAAGCTCATCTCATCGCTCCATCTCCTCAGCGCACGTCCTCTTTGGAACGTTCCCTCCCTTTGGCTTCCACTCCGTCGTGAGTCTCGACCAATGCCGGAACGCCATCCATTCCAGCGGTGACACCCCCTGCCCATGCCCGTCTCACTTCCTTTTACTGACGGAGTAACGTCATTAGCCCAAGTGTGTTCTCTAATCCGCATATTCCTCTTTCTAGCTCCGTGCAATTCCCAGCACGAATCTCTCCACGTTATTTTTTTTGCAGGAGGTGCCCTAAGTGAGCGCGCACTGCTGCGCTCACCTAGGTGACGCAAACCAATAGAATTTAAAGCATCTCTGGGTCACGAGATCAATTCAGCTTTTAGACCGGGCTGATTCTCGTTCCTTTTGCGCCGCATTGTCGACACCGTCCTCGTTCTGGAGCGTCCGATTGGTTCCACCATCGTTGGCTTGCCGAGCGATCGGCATTGCAGGTGCGGTACGAATGGCGGCGATTAGGGATGAGGAGTTTGGGACTTAAACGCCGCAGGTTTTAAATTTTTTAAGACAATTTCTGATCTTTTCAGGATTTTCAGAATTGCCTTCATTCGGCACAAACTTCATTGAGTGTCGACGTGCCGCCCAGAGCGACGTCACCCGACGCCACGTGATAGTGACCCCGTGGCAGTGATCCCGCGGGAGTGACGCCGTGTTACCAACGTCACTCCCGGAGGATTCCGCATCGACCCAAAGCAAACAAGAACTTTGGATCGTCTTGCGCTGCGCATCTGGGCCTGGTTATCGGATTTACCGGCAAGGTTTTATCTGAAAATCGGGAGCACGTTCTCGGTCTGTACCAACTGTGTCGAGCGTGTTCAGGCACCGGCATCGGTGCGTGCATCAGTGAGTACCGGTGCGTATCGGTGAATATCGGTGCACGTATCGATGCTTCAGTACATTTTGACACACGGTTGTTCATGCGCTTATCGTCGCGTGGTTTGACGCACGTGGTTGGCGGTGCTGCGTGGCGGCGGGCTCACCTGCTCGTACTCGTCCGTGATGGTCTTGGGCTCCTCGTGCCGCTGGAACCACATCATGTACTTGGTGTGGAACCTCCATGACTGCTTCTTCAGGGCCTTGGCCGCAAGGTACTGCGCCTTGGTGCCCTGCTCGCAACACGGGGGGTGGGGGGGGGGTCCGAGGGTGGCGGGGTACGAGTCAGTCAGCGGGGGGCCCACGCAGAAGTGTGTGCAAGGGCGTGTGCATGTGGGTGCCTGCAGGTGAGCGAGCGTGGGTGAGAGTGCGGCGGGCGCTCACCTCCAGGTAGTAGAAGATGAAGAAGAGTGTCTCCGTGGAAAGTCGCTGGTAAAACTCGAGCGTGTCCGAGTGGGTGGGTGGCACGCGGTGGTGGTACGATGGGGTCGGGCACGGGTTCCGGGGAAGGTAGTGCCTGCGTGCACCACACAAACACAAAGATACCCCGCCGTATAGCTTTAACAAACTTTTGAGGCAAGTGCCGTTAAGCGATCACCTCTGAAGGTCGGCACGAGACACGACGGGCTTACGCGACCAGCATCATGCCTTGCCGCTTTTGTATCCCCAGTGCAAGGTTTTACACGCTGCACCAGGTACTTATTTCAAGCAGAATCCATCCTTGGAAAGGTCAAGGTCCTGGTCAGACATTCGTCACTGACGATTGCCGCGAGCACGAATCGAACTCGAGTCGCTTGGTTCGAAGCGCAGCCCGTTAACAATTACGCTACCTATTCGCACACACAGCTGCATACATAAGAGGCGCACACACACAGGTACACATGCAAACACAGAGCAGAAGCTCAATGAGACACGACCATATGCACACACACACACACACCCAGACGCGCGAACCTGCACAGCTCACATCCAACGTCATCCTCTCCTCACCATCTCACCCCTGACCCCTCTTTCCGAGGCGAGCGCCTCCCTGGCACACAGCCTGAGCGGCCTCACCTGAGCCTCTCGGCGTCGGACGGATGTGGCATGTGCCTCCAAGAGGCCTCCAGCATGCCCTGCTGGTACACGTTATCCTTGCCGAGCGGAGTGGCACCCAGCGGGCACACGCCCAGCAACGGCTGCACGTGGGCCTCTTTTGTGACGGGGCTGGGAGGGCGGCCCGGGCCCACAAACAGGTCTGCAAGATGTGGGGGGGGGGGGAGCGACATGAGAAGGTAGGGGGTGGGTAGCGGTCACGTGACAATGTCCACAGCTTTTGGGTGGCACCGTGTGCACCTGCAGACTGTGTATGGTGACGTACAGGCAAAGAAAAATTCATGGCAACCAAATACATAGGAAATACACCCACGGAAAACGGAACGCGACATGATTCGGCGCATCGTAGCGTACCGTGGAAACGGTGAAAATGGACATGTTCGTCAAGGAACTGACACGTTGTTATTCAGGCTGCCTTGATGTAATTTTTCACGAAATGCAAACAAGTTTCACGACATGTCGACTTTCACGATTTCATCTGCCCATAACTCTGTGGGTGTATTTCACCTTTTGAAATAAAATAGCGGATCATGCAAACATTACTATCTGGGCCAAATTTAGTTTTTTAGGGATTTAAGCCGAAATTCGGCAGCACATTCCCTAGTTTCATCTTCATGCTGGGCTGCACTTCAAGAAGTTTAACATTTAGGAAATATTTTATTGGTATAAAAATATATATCACCACTGGGAACAGTACATTTTTGCCAAACAGACAAAACAATTATCGCGGCTGTTAAACCATTCGGTAATACCGTAGGTGTTGCCATATTCCAGACACCTAGGTCATTTACACGCCCAGTAAAAAAGTTAAAATATTGAAACTAAATTAGAAATCGCCGCATTGCAAACGGCAGTGCTTGCTACCACTGCTGCACGGTACACTCCGTTATTAGCGGCTACAGAGAGCCAGGGATATTTCGAGAGACTCCGAGAAAAAAATATATACAAGTCGGCCCTGTTGCTCGCTGACCTCTTCCCGTGCCCAACAGGGCCCGGGACCGCGGCCAAACTCTGACCCCGCTTGTATTTTAAAACTCCTGGAATATTTTCAATCCCACCGCGTTTTCGCTAATTAAGCCCTGCGGTGGTGTTTGGGCGCTGGGCCCACTCCCCTCTGTGATCGTAGCCCGATCACTCAGCGCCGCAGCCTGGACGCCGACCTTTGACCCCCCCCCCCCAAACCCCCGAGCCTGCCACGGGCCAAAGCAAAAATACACGATTCCCTGTGCCAACTCTCGAGTGGCACGAAAGAAGCGAACGGCAGAAAATAGTCTTAGTTTACGTCAGACAACGATGGACAGGATCTTAATTACGTTTTTACGATTTCAATACGTTACGTTAACACATTCGTAAAATTGTAACTGGCATCTGTATTACAAACAGAACAATAATTGATCATTTGTATCTAAATTATATGAGACAGGGTTGATTGGTCATTTGCATCTAGGTTAACACATCACTCCTGTAGTTTACAATTTTAATATAATGTGCCCATCGTTGCTACAGTGGCACTGGCGCTGCAAGGATTGGATATTTGATCAGCACCCTGGGGCCTGCGGATCGCTACAGAGCGACATTCGGGGTCAGGAATGGCGCGGCCGTCGAGTGGACCTGGAGATGCACGGTGCGATCCTTGGTTCCCTGTGGACTCTTGTCTTAGAGCAGTGAAGTTGCTGTACAAGTACGGTGTGAGTGTGGAGGGCAGGGATGTAAGTGCGGGGGGGGGCAGGTGTGAGTGTCGAACGATGGGTGTTAGTGTGGGAGAGGCGTGCGTGTGCGCGAGTGTGGAACTCTGGTCCCTGTGTCACCTCTGTCCGTGAGGTGGAGCGACTGCATTTGCCCCTCGAGTCCGGCCTCCGCTGCAGCCTTCTCCGCCATGCTCTTCAGTGAGCTCAGCGAGTCCTGTGGGCGACACAAACGTAAAGATCCTCCGTGGAACTATTCGTGGATTATTTGGTCAAGAGCTGTTAACGCCCGGCGATTAAGGCCGGCTCGGCGTGAGATTGGGTGGTGTGGCCAAACCACGCCCGGCCACAATTATTATATACCCGGCACTGTAATATTACACACTGAACCAGGTACTCATTTAATGCCGAGTCGACCAAGAGAAGTACTCAGGACCAGTTTGGATATCACCCATGACTAGTGTAGGTTGTGTCTGGGAATTGAACTCAGGTCATCGGGTTTTTGCTCGCACAGACTTCCTGCGGATGACGACACCAACTGAGTTTCCACCCACAAGCCAACGAGCCCAATTAAATTATCGTCGTGACGAACGAGGTAGCCTCCATTTAACAGATTTTCTCATTCCAACAAGTAAAACGGTACCAAAGACACAAAACGTGAATCAGAAAAATCACGTATACGCATAGAATATGTCGTGCTTTCCGTTATGCGTTTGCTTTCGGGAATGTTCAATTCGTGGTAGGGAATCGGACACGTAGCAGTCAGGGCAAAATGCATTTCCATATTTGCAAAGAGTTCCTTTCCACCCCACTCCAATGGCCGAAGCTTTTTGCCAAATGCTTCGTACCGATTCAGCCGGTTTTCTACAGGGCGAACAGCAACACAACCCAACACTCGCGCCGACTTCATGTCGGATCAACCTTACGAGGGTTATCGTGCCCCTCCTTCCTGGTTATGAACGTACGAAGCTAATGCATGAAAGGCTTTCAACCTCAGTTGGAAAGCATTATAAGGACAATCCAAATGAGATAACTCGACTTTCTGTTTTTTGTTTTCCTGGGTCGATAAAACCACGAGCCAATTAATGTACGCGAGCAGCCCAGAACACGCACCACCAACCAATCAATCCATCAGATTCTTGTCATGCTGCATTGGCAGTGAAAGTGACAAACTCATTTGGCAATAACACTGTGGCCCTAAGAGGGAATACGGATAATGGGCGATGGGGAAATTCCGCTTCCTGATGGCAGAGATCAAATCTACAAACACTGCTCTGGGCAGTGTTTGTAGATCAACTGGAGCTACAAAGATTGCTCGAAAACAAAGTGACGACTTGGGGAGGCCTTCTTCCAACAGTGGATAGATGAATGCTGACTATGACAAAAACAATACATAAAAATTACAGTTGAAAAATATAATTTGATACTATATACTAAGGTCCATTCAGTCTAATGGTGCTAACGAGGCAGAACATTCCAGCAGGACAGCACAAATGAGACAAAACACAAAATGAAAATGACACAACACCATCAAATTGGCGCAAGATTAGATTTTTTTTTTACGATTATTGAATAAACTCGTGGCAATTCACCGAGTGGATTTGGGGGGAGATGTGCGATTGTTGCACGACTGTGCTTAGCGAGGTCAGGCCTGGTCAGTGCGAGAAAACCATCTTGGGGATTGGGGAAACTCAAGTTGGATTCCCTCTGCAGGAGGGCACAGAAGGCATCGCGCGCTTGCTCGAGCCGCAAGACACCTGATGACGCAGACCTCCCGCGGCGGCTCCAACACGGCATGGTCTGGCACGCCGCTCCGGCCGACAACTCCGAACAACGCCTCTCCCCTGGCCGCTCCGCAAACAAGCGCATGACATTTTCCATCCCCCGTCGAATGAGGCTGCGTGCGTGCCTCCGCCCGCGTCCGTGTGCGCGCCCGTAAAACGAGACCCCGCATCTCGGAGGATGCGAAGCAGCAGGAAATATCGTCAGAAAAATAGCTAAAAAAGCCGCTCCCCCGCCCCTGCCCCCCCAAACAGAGGGACGGAGCATTCCGATTGGACAGGCCCTATCCATGCCACACTTCCCTGGCTACTCCACAAACACGAGCAAAACATTTTCCACCTCTTGTCCAACGCACTTGCGTGCACGCGTCTGTAAAGTGAGACGGCGTATCTCGGAGGATGCGAAGCAGCAGGAAATATCTCCAGATAAATAAATAACGGACGGACGAACGGATGCACGGACGGACGGACGGAGCGTTCCGATTCGATATGGCACGTATGCCGTATAAGGCGTCCAAAGAAGCCGCGCGCTTCGCCCTATTCCCACGCGCGTCCAAAACGACTCGCGCGGAACCTCGGGGCAAACGCGAGATGGATCGTCAATGGATCGGAGAAGCAAATGCAAGTTAGAGACATCGTACGGACTTTGTCTCCTGGTCCCGACGTTCAACGTGGCAAAACGTATTCCAACATCAGCACTGGGGAGACGAAGGGGGGGAGGGGATATGCGCATTGTGTGTGCGTGTCATATGTGGTATTGTAAACAAGAGAAAGGAATTGTCGGGGGGGAACACAACTGGAAAACACCCAGGGCAATGATTGAAAGCAGATTGCAATAAAAATTGATGAAACAAGGCCAAAGAGAGCTCGATGGAGTGCTCTTTGTAAATCTGGTTTTGATCTTGTCCAGCAACAAAGCAATATCCCCCCCCCCCCTATCGGTGGGCGTCATCGGCTGTGACATGCACCAGAAGCACGGACATTGACAATGAAATCTAACAGATGAAGACTGCAAGGCGGAAGCATCGATAGTCGCACGCTGGGAATTTACACAGAGAGGCTGAACTAGGAACGCGCGGGTGTCAGTAAGCGGACTTTGGCAGGACTCGTCACAAGAACCAACGATGACCGGAGGTCGACGTTAATGAACAGTGGCGGGTCGCTGCGAGTGAAGCAGCTAGGAGGGCGGCAATCACAACGGGTTCCGCGTGAACAAACAGACGTGGCCCCGGCTCCGGCCCGGTGCACCTGAGCCAGAAATTTACAATGGAGAGGAGCTACGGGGGAGAGAGGACAGGCGACCGCCACGGTGGAGGAGGCAGTGATGGGCGACGTGAGGAAAATCCGTGTACTTAGCGAGCCCACGTGCCTCGAATAGCGGCTATTTTGGCGCGAATGCGCGGAATGCTGGCGTGCAGCTCACACGAGGAATACACGGACAGCTGAGTGGCGCGGTCTGACAGCCCCCACCCCATCCCCCTTCCCCCCCACAAACCCAAACCCACCTCACTCCTTCACCAGCGCCGCCGCCGCCGCCCGTGCCCCACGGGAGTGACTTAATGTGCGCACTGGCGCTCTCTGTGACGTCGGCAGTAACGCAGCATCTCCCGCACGGTCTCCCATCGACCGGGCCGTGGATTTGTTTACATGTGAACTGCATTGCCTTGTCACCCAGGTCTCCCTCGATAACGAGACCTTTGGTCTCAATGGGCTCTGATCATTAGCATCAATATCAGTCATGATCAATCCACTGCTGGATGAAGGATTCCACCGAGCCATCGAAATCCCTCACGGTCCTGAGAGGTAACCTATCTACGTCGCGCCTGCTCCATCTCCGCACCTGCTCCGTCTCCGCACCTGATGTATTTGTGGGTGTGCTCCCTCCTTTGGCTGCCACTTTGTCATTAGCCTCGATCACCGGCCCTAGCCTACAACTATATGTTCCTAAATTGCGTACGTTCTCGAATCCACGTTAAATTGGCTCGTCTGGATCTAAGCAACCTAAATAAATATTTGATGCCGATAACGAGGTTGACGGAGATGGTTTAATTCAAATCCTCTTGAATCGGGGGACAAGACGACGTAGCACGTACAGATTGGATGGGACGGGAAGAGGCGAGACAATTCGATAGATTCCAAACCCAACTTGTGCACTGAGAATTGACGGCGGTCGGCATTCCAACACAACCGACATTCCAACGCTCGGATGCCTCTCTCATCCCGTCTCCAGGGACCGCACCAGATAACCTAGCTCGCACTCCCTTAGGCGTGCACCCATTGGCCAAATGAAATGGACTCCTACGCTCGCGACGACGGGATGATGCTCGTGCGGATTGACCATGTACCACGCGTGCAAGTTACACGCACGTGCTTCGCCGAGGATAGCGGCCGAATTTAATGAGAAATGCAGTGCCGACAATGCCACACATACTCTTTGGTTCTATTGGGTAAAGTCACCTACGTGACTTTACCCAATAGAACCAAAGAGTATGGATCCTAGCAGTCACGAAAGCTTTAAATCTAGAAATGCCACACATGCCAGATGAGAGGGGAGGCAGCGAACATGAGCCACACTTACAGAACGAGAGAGGCAGCGGACACAAACGAGATGGCACGAGAGACGAAAAATGGTATTCTCGAATCGAATCATAATAGAACCAAAGAGTATGGATCCTAGCAGTCACGAAAGCTTTAAATCTAGAAATGCCACACATGCCAGATGAGAGGGGAGGCAGCGAACATGAGCCACACTTACAGAACGAGAGAGGCAGCGGACACGAACGAGATGGCACGAGAGACGAAAAATGGTATTCTCGAATCGAATCATAATCCTTTGTCGCGGCAATTCCTCGAATTGTGGGGGACACAGGGACAAACGTTACACACCTAGTGGCCCAGCATTAACCAGAATAATGGAACAAACCAGGTGGTACAACCGAGACAGAAGACAAAGGAGGCGCAATACAAATGAGACAAAAACAATCAATGGTTAAATCAAGAGAAGGGCTGCCCTCTACTGTTGTGGCCCAGAGTAGCTCTGCGTTATTCACTTATGTGGGCTGCTCTCCACCATGGGGGTTGCCCCTGCTCCGAGAAAAATCCAAACGGACGCTTCGTCTCCTAACGCGTCGCCAAGGATTCAATTGGGTAAATATTTCAAGTAAAGAATACATCATCAAATTGTTATTCTCTGGCACCCCCTCCCCAATACCGTCCTTCAACTTCCACCACCACAACCCCCCACTGACCTTGTCACCACGAATGACCACTACCCCACCGTCACCCACAACCGCTAGCCACTTCCTACTCCTCCACCACCACAACCACCACCCCCCCTCACAGCCCCCCCCCCCGCCACCTCTCACCAGTGGCCCCCACAACCACCCCTGGCCCGTGCACCTCGTGCCCCAGTGTGGCCCCCGCAGCCTCTGACCCTCGCTCCCTGGGGGCGTCTCCATTACCCTCCCAGCCTTCTGCCCTAATCGAGCCCTCTCGGGGTGGGGGCTCGCGAAGGGGGGGGGGGGGGGGGGACAGCTGTTCACCGAGGGAGGATGGTGGGGGCCGACGGACTCATCGCTTGCTCCCTGACGAGAACGATAGCAGCAAGCGGCCGCATCTGCCCGCTTCTGTTCCCCTCCCCTTCAGATCGCACCTCCCGCCCCCCACCAACCCCCACAGCTCCCCACCTCCTCCCTCCCTGTGCCATCCCCCGTCTTGTCTCACACCTCCACCACAACAGAGACGCTCCCCCTTCCCCATCGTTGCACCGATGTCGCGGCGCCCTCGGACAGCGCGCCGAGTCGGCATGAAGCGGAGTGCACGGGCACCTCTACGCAGCAATGTGGTTGTGTGGTTGTACACGTATGTAGCGTGCGGTAAAAAATTCAACGTAAAGTCGTATTTACTCATTCAGTTCGGTCACCCGCTGACAGATTCCTCTGGGCACAATTGCATGCATGTATCCCGAGCCTAAGCATAAACCGTAAGTCGATGATTCGATGCCGACAAAGTTAAAATCATCGGAAAATACAAGATAAAATCTGTGCACATCCGTGTCTGTGTGTGTCGCAGGCCATGGAAGATCTATTGGACTGTCGGCTCCTGAAGGAGTAGTGGTGGTACACCGTGGAGGATATTGGCCAAGGCTACAGGCCTAGCCATATAATGTGCCATGGCCGATCCACTGCTAGCCATATTATATGCCCTATACTGGAATAACATCTGACTGGTGGCAAGACATGAGAAACAGAAGACTCACAACTCACCGAACCATGCACTCACTCACACTCTCATTCATGGCACGCTCACGGCTACCATGGTGGCTATCGGGGGCGCTGGTCAAGTGCGACAGTTCCTAATTCCTCCTTCTTTAAACTAATTACCAAGACACCACAAGCTGCGAATGGTGGTGTGCGAGCACGTGTGAGCATGTATATACTGGTCACTGTGTGCTATTGTATAGAGGTGAATGAGTGAGTATGTGTGTATAAAGCGGAGCGTGTGTGTGCGCGCGCGTGTGGGGAGCGAACCTGGCGAACCGGGTTCGATTCACGCTCACGGACAACACCAGTGACGATTATTTGAACCGATCCTGGACCTCCCCTAGGTCGACTCAGCCTCAAATTAGTACCTGGTGCGGTGTGTAAACATCGCCACTGGGAAGAGAAAGGCAGCCGAGCGTGGTGTTAGCCACCCACCCCCTCTTGTGCCGTGCCGGCCTTTATAGGTGCTCGCTAACAGCACTTGCCCCTACAGTCGTTAAGACTATACGGGGGATCTTTGTCTTTGGATGCAGGCGAGCGTTTGTGCATGCGAGTGGCGAGTGGAACTGCATCGGTTAGCGCTCAGTGTTACGAAACCAGAGACTCAAGTGCGATTCCCACTCACGGCCATCACTGGTGACAATTACCTGAACCGGTCCTGGGCCTCCCAGCGGTCGACTAAAATGAATACCTGGTGTAGTGTAAACATCGCCACTGAGGAGACAAAGGTGGCCGGGCATGGAGCTGGCCACCCACTCCCTGATGCGCCATGTCGGCCTTCGTAGGTCCTACTCGCTAAAAGAACTTGCCCTAATAATTTGTTAAAGGCTAAACGGGGGGATCTTTGCCAACAGGTGAGCGTGTGCATGTGCACGTGTGTATACAGGTGCGCGTGTGCGGTGCGCACGTGTGTGTGTGCACGTGCAGTGCCGACCGTGGCTCACCTTGGTGATATGGTCGGGTGAGGGGCTTGCCCCGTAACTCTGGGGCCCGTTCCGCATCTCCGAGCTCGCCTTGGCTTCCGCCAGGTCGGGGCTCGCCAAGGTCAACGGGACGCTGGCCTGCGCCACCGACGCCGCCGCTGCCGACGGCCCGGGGCTCGCGGGAGGGGGAGCCGCGATGGCGTCCGGCGTCTCCTTTCTAGCGATGGCAAACGCGACCACAAACCAACGAGACGGCTCGCAGGAACACTCAGAAAAAAAAGTCAAACAAGGAAGGAAAACCACGCCTGCGCATGGATTCCATCGACGATCATAACGACGACTGTAATCGCAGGCACGTCACGACGTAACACGTCAACTTGCCATGCGCCCCCCACCTCACCCCTTCCAGAGAAAAGTATTATTATTCTTCTTGTAAATAGACAATTCAATTGCAATATACACAGCAGTCATCGCTTCCTACGTGAAAACCTTGGCCGGACCCTCCTGAATACGAGTCATAAGACTCACTGGGGCTCTCCTGGCTAAACAAGTACGAGGGGCCGAACGCCGAGCGTAGTGGGGGCGCGCGGAGTGGGGCGAGCGGAGTGGGGCGAGCGGAGTGGGTGGCCGACTCACAAGAGGGGAGGCGAGGGGGCGATGTTGGGCTGGCTGCTCGGCGAGTCCGAGTTGACGACCTGCGGCGAGTCTTCCCGGGACTCTGCCACCACGGAGCTGTAGCCTGCGGGAGGAGGGCGGGCGACACGCAACCTCCAAGTTGCTCATCCGGTCCCCGCCAAGTCGCTCTACAGCATCCTCCGTGCACACCACGACGACTCCCGTCCGCAGCACGCTCGCTCACCTTGCACGCTCATTCGTTCACACATATGCTGCCCACACACACACACACGCTCGCTCGCTCCCCACACCGCAGGTCACCTCTGCTTCCGCCTTCGCACCGCTCCACTCTGCAATTCCCTCCTCCCACCGTTGTCGTTTTCCCCGAAGCTCTCACGATAATAGCCTAATTTCTTTCGAACCGATTTTTGTGTTAAGTTTGTTGTCCTTCCCCCCGCACCTTCGATGAGCACGGATTGGCTACGTACGGTGCGAAAGAAGTTCAACAGACATGCATGCAGCCTTCTTGCTCAATTCAAGGAAAGCGTTACGTTCTTTATCTGCTGCAACTTTGACAATGCTATTTGTTGCTGACCGCTTTAAGTTTTTTGTCCTCTGGGCCTGTGCTCATGATGGGTATTAAAAGAAACGTGCTTACGTTCGTGGCTCTGCAACGAAAATGCTGATGAACCCCGTCAAGAGTTTGATTACAAGAACAAAGGCCGCTTGCGAATCAGCCATGGTAATAACGTGTCCGCTTAACTCGGAGGAATAAACGGGAGTCTGCTCGCTATGTACGTAGTTGACGATTCTCAAGTGAAGAGACGTCGTCTAGTTTAGGCCATGCTTTTTGGGCCTTTAACAAATTCATCCACCTGGCGACACGAGATCTGCGAGAGGGACACAAGTGTAAAATACACCACAGGACGTATTCCTAAAGCGTGCGTGCATCTCCGTGTCTCTCTCCGACTGATGATGATGTGTCAAAGACACTTAAGCTAATAATGGACCCAATGAAACAGAATCATTCATAAATAAGACGACGAAATAAATTGTGACGATTCAAAAAATCGTCGTGCACCACACCATACAGCCAACTACTGATTTCACACGCACCACCACAGTAAAGGCAAAAATCATCAACCCATGAGTAAAATCTTGACTTTAAATCACGACGATTCATCAAATCGTAAAGAAGAGACTCATGAGAAGCCCGCCAGCACGTACTGTTGGCACCGTTGAGCTGCCTGCTCGCCGCTGCCGCGGCCGCTGCAGTTGCTGCCGCGGACGCCGCCTGGTTCGCCGAGCCCGGCCTCGGTTGAGCCGCGTTGCCTGCTCCCGGCGCCAGCGACAACGGCGCGCTGCCCACCGCGCCGCCGCCGCCGCCGCTGCCCCCCAGGCCGCCCGCTAAGCTGCTGGTGCTGCTGCTGCTGCTGCCGCCGCCAGCCGAGGTCGCGCCACCCGCGACGCCGTTCAGCGCCCACACGCCGGTGCTCGTGCTGGTCGGGTTCCAAACGCCGCTGCCGCCCACCACGCCGTGCCCCGACAAATTCCACACGCTGGCGCTGCTGCCGGCGCCGCCGCCGGGGCCGTTGGCGCTGGGGCTCCACACCGAGCTGGCGCCGACCGTCGTGCCGGACGTCGACGACGAAGACAGCGCCGGCGGCGCCACCCCTGCCGACCCCGCGGACGACCCCGCGGCCAGGCCGCTCGCACCCCCGCTCGCGCCGGTTGTCGGCGTCACGCCCGAAACGGCGGCGGAGTACGCGGGACCTGACGGCGCCTGCGATGACGCTAGACTCCTGGGGGGAGGGGGAACACAAGCGAGCGTTCGGTCGTTTGTTCTCTACCTGGCCCCCACACCAGAGTAAAAGGCACGCTCGTGCGCTTTCGTAATAACGGCGCTGGCGCCGCCATCACCTCGGGTCTCAATTCAAGCAGCCGTGTGCGATTAAACAGAGTTGTCAATTGCTGCACAAAAAAAAACACATTCAATTCGGTTCTGCACTTGAACATTACTCCGAGTGGCAGAATGGGTGGCAAAGTGCTGCCTCCTACTGTGTGGACCAGAGGTAGCTCGAATCAATCTCAGAGGTAAGCTCTGTGGGCATCCATTTCGGTGGGCCGTTCTCTAACACCAAGGGCCATGCACCGCTCTGTGAGATACCTGAAAGGAGTTCTCTCGCAGAGCGATAAAATTGTGGCAAAATGACCGAAAAATATTTTTAAATGGCAAATCCACACTCACGTCGCGGATGGTTTGCTGGTGCCTGCTTTGCTGTTACTGCCGCTACCACCGCCACTTCCGCCGCTGCCACCCGCGCTGCTCTCCGATTTGCTGAGAGTCCGCCCCGATGTATTCTGGATGATGGGCGAGACTGGCGTCCCTACGGTCCCGTGGTGCGCTTTCGTTAACAGCGCCTTCGCAGGAGACTTGGGGGTGGGGGAGGTGGGGAACACAACACAAGCGACTAGAGTCAGGTTCGGCAAAACCAAACACACCGCATGCATCCGTGAAAATCAACTGCATTTACAAAATGTGTACAGTTGGCATGCCAGCCAGGTGGATTTGGCCGGCAGAGCGAGCAGCTCGCAAGCTGAAGGCCGCAAATTCACCATCCTCCCCCCCGGGTTCGATAAAGTGATTATCACTTTCTGGGGAAGTCAACAGTGGTGGTGCTGAGGATAGAATCGCCCCCACCAAAGGAATGTGGAATATTCCGCCGCTGGCTCAGGGCTGTAAAGAGGAGACAGGCAGGCAATTCCTCAATGCTCGCGTGAGCCGGAACCTACTCTTGACTTTTGACAATTTACATACACACTCACTCATTGTTTTTTGTTTTAGGTAAAGTCACGTATGTAGAAATACAATAAAATTATATTAAAATAAATCACGACGTTTCTTTATTAATTTACATACACGTTCTATTTTGCAATGTCGCACCCATTGCGGGGGGAGCAGTGGCTATACTCTACTAATGACTCCTAACACTGATGAAATCGGTATACAGTTGTCTCATCGCTGCCTAAATAATATGGCCACAATTTTGACACTTTCGAAATAGCGGTGTGAGCAAGGCTGTGTGCGTTATGTACACGACAGGATGGCGATGTGACGGGACATGCAGAGCATGATAGCACTGATATTGTCAGGTTCATGCCTTTTGCACTCATCCAATTTAAGAATATTAGTGAGCAGCTGTAATTATAGGGGCGATGATGCAGCTCAGGGGTAGGGCATTCGATGTTTGTTGCAGAGGTTCGTGGTTAAAATCCAGCAGGCTGCCTTGGTTAACACTGTGGGTGTATTAACCGTAAATGACCACGCGCTATCTGCTTCACACCGGACGTCAACGATTCCGCAAGGTCATTCGAAAAGAGTCGCCCGTCGTGTGCCGGCGTCACGGTCCAAACGTGAAAGGAAAAAAATTACCCCGCAAACGACTCGATTGGGATCACACGCACAGCAACGTCACACCTACTGTGAATCTACTGCTGGCTGTGCCTGCGAAACGTAGCAGCGCCTTCCTTCGTGATGATCGCCTTGCGCTATAAGAACGATAGCCCGACGGAAAAAATGCACTCAAGTCTCATGATAATTGATCAAAATTATCGAGGTGGCTTCCATCTCCGTGACGCGGGGCAGTCGGGTACCTGCATTGACTCGCTGTCCGTCGACTTGCTCCTCCTCTTGTCCTGGTGGTGGTTTTCGTGGTTCTCCTGCGCACACAGGTCGCTACTATTAGACCGCCCCCATCTCTCTCTCTCTCTCCCTCCCTGACTGTCTGTCAAGTCCACAAACACCTGGGCACGCGACAATCCGCCCTCCTCGTGATTCTGTCATCACGGTTTGGATTCGCGAATTGAACAGAGGACCGATGACGATATTGTCTCGTTTGTACGGTCCAGTCGACGGCGGTGGGAACGAACGAGGTCTCATTTCAATACATCACAATAATTAAACGCAGCTGCCGAGCGCAGGCCTCAAGGCCCAAATTATCTAGCGGCCAGCAGCAAATGGCAAGACGATGAGAGGAGCGAATTCCAAAGTTGGGCAGTAGAGAGTTGTGACCTGCAGTGTGGTGACTGAACCCAGTATGGGGGGGGACACGAAACAGTTGTGTCTCAAAGCTTTCGCGATCGTGGGGACTGTACCGTCCCTAGTGGTTACAAAAAAGGCATCACACACATCGCACGTAAACAGAAAACAAGCGGTTCGCATGCGCGCGATTCAACGCGTGTCTCGCGATTGTGAGCGTCGACAAATAAACCGTCGTTCCGCGCGCGACGGTTTGACTCTCAGCCGCCCCCTCAGCCGTCGAGGGCGAGCGACTCGCCGCCCACGTGACCGCAGGTGCGTCAGAGAGCGAAGCGGCGACTCCGGAAGCAACCACCACAACAGGCGCCGCGCGTTCTACATCTTCACCCCACCCCCGCCACAACCAAGGTGCCACCCCTGGCCAAGGAAGGCCGTTGAAGTCACCGGTCACACGTTAACACAGGCGAACAATTCATGATGTTTACGCAGTTTGGATAATGAATTGCGGTTTTGTTTTATCCTGGCCACCCCTTGAAAGGTGACCCCTCAGCGATGACGAGCCAGTGCGGGGTGGATAGGGGAGGGGTGTGCCGGTGGACTCACGTTCGGGATGGGCACGGGCGAACATGACGTGGTGGAGGTCGGAGTGCTGCTTGATTGGTTAAAAACTTCGTCGTCGTTGAGGCTGTTGCTGACTGGAGAGGTGGCCAGAACCGCAGCCAGGCCTGCACACACGTACACACGCACATGCACGTGCGTACGTACGCACATGCGTACATACGCACATGCACGTACGTACACACATGTGCGCATATGCACGTACACACACACGCGTGCGCGCGTACAGACACGCGGCCAGACACACACGCGGCCAGACACACACACGCATACAAACACACATACAAACACACACAAATGCAAACACGTGAATTTGACGCGGGAAGACCTTCACCGGCTCCACAGCGCACGACGTATAAATTCTGCCCAACTGTACACAGGTGCCAACACGGTACAGCACCGTGCTAGCGTGGCTATTGCCAAGGCGCCGAGATGGCGGCACTTTGGACGCGCCATTCGCGGCGGCCGCCGTGTTCTCGTCGGACTGCACTGTTTGTCGCACGTTGTGCAGCAACGGCTCTCCCATGTGCACGACCTCGTGCTTATGAAATTACCCTTTGCGTTTAACCAAGCACGTAGGTTTTCACAGCCAACATGACGATTCTTAATTTGAGTTTAAATTTGGGCCACGTAAAGATCCGTCCAGAATTTTTGCTGTGCAATCCTCTCGCCACCCAGCGCAGCCAAACAAATTAAACTGTTACAGGTTGCACGAGCGCTTAACGACGTGCTGATTATTTTCCACTCACCGGTGAGATGATGAACAACATTTTCTGAAAACTATTTTAGCAATCGGAGACGACAGTTTGGCTTGGCACTGCATCAAAGCATCTTCAGGTAAGAAACCTGGAAGTCAGCATCTGGATCTGACCCGCCTGCGCTTCAGCACGCATACACGACGGCCTATGGGCTCAGTCAGAGGCGAGAGCGCCAAAGGCAGAGGAGAGCGAGGGAAGAGGATGACGGGTGGCGGCGGGGAGTCCGCGGACAGAGGGGAGCGCACCAATTTCGTCCATGTTGATGTCGTCGTAGATGAACTCGTTCTCCTCGAAGTCCGGGTCCTGCGACGAGTCCGCGTAGTACTCGACGTCGTCGCGGATCTTGCGGATGGCGTCCACCTCCACCGTCTGGTTGTCCAGCATGCGGAGCAGCGTCTCTAGCTTGCCCACGTGCCAGCGGTGCCGCTCCAGCTGCCGCTTGAGAACCTCCACGCGGTCGGCCTTCTGCGGGGCGAGGGGAAGACGGGCGACGGGGTACCGCCAGGCACGGCGTCAGCGCTATCGTCGCGTCGCGTAGTGCACGCAGAATTGCGTTTTTTTTTTACGCTTTCCAACGAAGGTACGTAGTGTACGCATTAGCTCTGCCCGACTGTCTGTCTGTAATGAGGTTTTAATTTTATAACGCGTCTTTCATGCGAATTGCTGATAAAGACGCTGTAGAATATGAAACGCTCCACGCAGTTTTCACATGGAAGCCTACGTGGGACACCAAAGACAAAAAGGCGACAGCCAGAAACAGTGATTGCCCAAGCTCTGCAGTCCTATGTTTGGATGTTTGACCAACTCAATTAACAAATGTTTATACATGTGGGAGGAATCCAGAGTACCTGGAGAAAACCCACACGAGTGAGGGAAGTTACAAAAAATCCCTGACACATTTGGAATACTCTTAGATGTTTAATGCTTGCTTGTCGAGGTCGAAAGCATCAACGCATCAGCTCCGTCCATCTGTTTCGAACATGGGGTCACGATAAACTCCCATACAGATGATCTCAACTACAATTTAGTATAAAGTCGTGTTCGTATTCGTGACTTTCCCCAGAGGAGCAATGGTCAAATTGATCAAAGGGTTTCCCAAAACTGAGGGATAAAGAAAACAGCGCTAAAAGATTCATTATTGCACTCATTTTTATTTCATCGATTTTATGTTCTTCCCATTGTGCTGACCCAGGTCGCTTTTGCAACGAGCCTGGTTATCCCGGTCTCTCGAGTCATCGCCTGGTTACACAAATAAACTCGTTAACTGTTAACCGCGTCGGCTCTCTCCACTGCTCTCACCTCCTTTTCACTCTTCTTCTTCTTGGACACTATCGACAACGACTCCACTTCGCTCTCAAATTGGTCCACCTGGCGACGGTAGATGGCAGGAATGAGGGGAGACAGAAATTGGGGGCAATGCATTTGTAACGAGAGAGCCACGATAACTCTCATAAAGAAGATCCAAAATTTGCAAACTTTTCATATAAAGTCGTATTGCCTGGAGAAAAATGGCCAAATTTATCAAACGTCTTCCCAACACCCAGGGATAAAAAAAAATCAGCGCTAAAAGCATCAAACCTTGAGGAGTGTAGGTGAGGATGTCAGATCGATTAAATTGTCACAACTCAAGATGACGATTTGATTATGTTTTAAGGGCTAAAATGGATGAACCAATGACACTGTACATTAATGTCGGGAGGGAGAGGTCTCGGGCCATTTCAGAGATCACTCGTCACTATTGTACGCCGTGGCCGGGAATCTAATTCAGGATGCCGGCTTAAATAGTCCAATGCGAGAACTGCCCTAAACACTAGGCAAAGCATGTCTCGTGGGTGTAGGAATCTATTACAATCAATCCATTCGGATCTCTCGGACAGCAGTAGGATCCTGTGTGTCAGGAGAACAGCCCAGAGAAGCGGATACCACAGAACTACCTCTGACATCCCTTCAAGTGACCTCTGGTCCACACAGTAGGGAGCAGCATAGACCCATCTGCCAGGCCACATGACAGTAATGTTCAGCAAGTGGCAATCAAACCAATATTTGTAATTCCCGAAGATAACATTTCGCCAAGTAAAGTACATAACCAAATGTAACGTGATTGGTTTGTTTAGTGCAGTGATTGGGCCGAGAGCATAAACTCTCTGCACTTGAAAACCCATTTGTAATCAGAGGAAGGCGAAACCTGGATTTAAACCCAAGCTTCTCAGCGGTGCCAGCTCGGCGCTGTGACCCAAGGCGCGGGGGCCCTCCACCTTGTTAGCAAGGCAATGTTAACGGGCGAGCGTTTTTTGCACGTGAAGGCATCCGACAAAGTAACCCAGCAAGCGTTTACCTGCATGTTTAGGTTGTCGATGGTGTTCTGAAAAAGAATCGGGCAAAGAGCCAGCGTTACACAAATAACATTTTTCACATTATTCACTCGCTCACGGCACCGCGCCACGCGTCAAAAATAAAAAGACAAGACAGCGGTGACGGCGGAACACCAAACGTGGCGACGGGGGGCACCCCCCCCCCACGTTCCCCAGGGTGGCGAGCGGCGTGCGGGCCCCGAGGGTCGCGTTCAGGGGGTGCGCCCATCGCACTCAGCGCCGGTGCCCCGACTTGCTTGGCAAGCGACGGTCACTGCCGTGCTTTCTCAGCAAGAGAATTGAGGGTGCCGACGTGCGGCCAAGTGCTCTGCTTCCGCCCGAACGCCCCCTCCCCCCCCGACCCGGCGCTCGCACCCAGCACGCCAGGTCTCTCGCGGAGGATTGAACTCGATGACCCCCCGGCGTCTCATTGTGCGATAAGTAGGCTTGAGTTAAATAAGCGGACAACAAGAAATGTACTTTTCGATAAAGCTAGCATGGGTTATCTGCATAATGAGGGTTATCAAGTGTGTTCAGGACATCTCCATGGTGTCAAGATTTGAGGGTTGTGATGCTATCCAAAAATCGATTCCTCTTGCCATGCCTCGACTTCTCTTTCAGCCTCCTGTAAAATCGCCTTGAATGTGCCGCATCTCTCTCGATCTCAGAAGCCAAGCGGAATTGAGCCCAGGTTAGGAATTGGATGGGTGATCAAGAGAGTTGGCTAGTTGTTGTAGACATGGGATAGCCAGGATAAGAGTATATGGCTGAATTTTGATTTAAAGCTTTCGTGACTGCAGTAATTCATATTCTTAGTTTTTTCGGTAAAGTCACGTTGAAGGGAAACAACAAAATTATAAAATATATATAAAACAATAAAAAATTCTCACGACGTTTCGACCATAACTCAAACGGTCGTCTTCAGGTGTGTTGGTTTGCATAAATTTATTTTTAAACGGCGCATTTATTTAAAAAAAAAACGTTAGCGCCACGCGCAACGATTTGGCAGTTTATTTAGGACTAGTCCATTTATAATTTCGTCTCCCCCCTCCTCTTTTCAGAATATAGATGGACTAGTCCTAAATAAACTGCCAAATCGTTGCGCGTGGCGCTAACGTTTTTTTAAATAAATGCGCCGTTTAAAAATAAATTTATGCAAACCAACACACCTGAAGACGACCGTTTGAGTTATGGTCGAAACGTCGTGAGAATTTTTGTTATTGTTTTATATATATTTTATTATTTTGTTGTTTCCCTCCAACGTGACTTTACCGAAAAAACTAAGAATAGTATATGGCTGCTATAGATTTCCGCATGGTAAGCCAATTCGTTGAGCTATAATTTGGGGCCAGGTTGCTGCTTCTAAATGAGAGCTATATAGCTCAGTGGGCCTTGCCTGGTAAAATTAAAATAGTTAAATAGTTAGTTTGGATATAGCTGTACAGTGATGGATTATTGAGTCCATCTGTCTAGAGATTTAAACATCAACCTTCCCCCTCCTATGCATGGTGGGTTTCCTAAGGGTTCTCAGAGTTCCTCCCACACAAAGTGAGGACCCCTCCTGAAAAGGAGTCCTGAGACTCAGTGGAGTTCTCCTGGGTAAATAATTGTAATAATTGGCAACTACCATGTCGTTTCTATTCTCTTTTTTGTGTTTTGTTGATTGGCTCAACAAAAAGCACACATTAGTAACCCAACTCACATTCGATTTGCATAAATTGCAAATAGTTAATTCCCGCACGCACGATCTGACACATGCATCGCGACGGTAAGGTTCTCATTTTACCGTGGAATCCATTTATCGTCGCAAGCTCCATATGTGCCGCCTGGCGCATTAACTATTTTCTGTAGCGCCGTGCATCGGACGTCTTGTAAAACGCACAATGTAGGCCTGCGTCGATCGACCACATTCGCCAAGAATCCGTCTATGTGCAACTACCCCGTACATGGCACAATCGCCGCATCGTGCACGTCGCAACACCGAGAACCAAAGACAATCACAATGTCGTACGGCTGCACATCACAACACCCAGCACAAGCTGCACATCATACAACATGTAACAACACCCAAAACCAGACAAACCTGGCGTCATACCACAACACTCAGTACCCAGCACTCAATCACTGTCGTACAACGTGCAACACTGCACCATACAACGCATCACAACAAACCCAGAACCACAAACAGCACGTCAGACAACAACACGTCACAACAGCCAGAAGCAGGCACTACAACCACCGGCCCGTCGTACGGCAGGAGCCGGCATGGGGGGACGCGTGCGAGAGTACGTGCGTGCGTACCGTGAGCCACTGGCTGATCTCCTCGCGCTCCTTCTGCGCCGGGTCGACCTTGACCGCGGAGCCCAGCCCCTCCTTGGAGTAGGCCTTGGTTTTCGTCTCGCGCTCAACCACCTTGAATCTCTCCATTTGCTGCGCCCCCCCCCCCCCACCCGATGGAACACAAGGTGTGGGACAATCGACGAGTTTTTGGAGAATTGACGTGAAGACGACTTCCAACGTGTCGGTTATCGCAGCCAATATCAACGAGTCATACGTGCTCTATGGTTCAGGCCATTTTACGATCTGGTACGGTCCAGTAAAACCTTAATATGAGCGGGTTTCAATATCACGGTTTTGCGTATTTCCGACACTTATTGGGGTGCTCTTTGAATTTTGCGGGGGGTTGGGTTTTAAATATTGGCGTCCGTAGCGCGCGATCACCTGACAAGTAGTACCACCGTAAGTACTTGGAGCGAGGCATGGAAGCGGCGTGGAACGTAAGAGCACAAAATTTGCCCCCCCACGCAACGCCGCTCACCCTCTGCTTACACGCCAGTGCTTTCCTTTACAATGTTTTGGAATTAGCGTTCCTGTGTTACTGTTAACCGTCGTCCCCGAGCAAAAAAAGGAAGTGACATCATTAAAGATAAGTTTCAATAATACTGTGTTATATTGATTCATTCAAATATATTTGCACTTTTAAATGTTTATGTTCATTAATAAAGGTAACTTAACACAATAACTGTACAATATATGTAGTCATTAATATACACAGTTTATATGTTTAAAAGTTATATATTTTTATGCTCCCTAACTATTTTCCTCATAAGCTTTGAGTGTTAATAGTCGCGGATTTAATATTCTTGCCATTCTCCAAGAACATATCATCCACGGATATTAAAGGTTTTTTTCAGCTAATTACGGTAAACTTTATTGTCAGATGTTTTTTTCAACAGACTGTTTGGGCGCATAAAAATATTGCCACATGACAATTTAATCTGTTTTGCTGTGTCGGGTCGTGGAGGGTGTTACGACAAGACATTTGGTCAGATCTTTACGTCATGACCTCACCCAAAACGTTTGCAGCGCAAACCAGGTGTGGACGATTCAAATTGCACAACCAGGAGCTCGCGTCTCTCGTACTAGACACGACCAACAACAACATCTCGCACCTCTACGGAGTTATTCATTTCTTTGTTTGAAGCAGGTGCACGCTGATATGCGGCCAGAACAAAAGAACAGTGGCCACAACAGAGCCACGGCAGCCGATGGCGCGTCACGTACATACGTACGTATGTTGAACTTCTTTCGCACCGTACGTAGCCAGCTGTGCTAATTACGGGGCGGCACACGGGAGAGGCTCGAGCAGGAAGGTTGAGGCGCGTTGAACGGGTCACGCTCACCCTGCCGCAAGCGGCCGCCCCACGCGCGACCCGCCAACTCACCAGCTCTATCAGCTTGCGGTTTTCTATTAGCTGCCTTTTGTCCTTGATGTCGTTGGAAGTGAGCCATGTTTTGATCTGGTCTCGAAGCCTCTGCAAGGGGTAGAGAATCACAATTTAAGCACCCATTTACAACAGGTAGAATACAATGTACAATGCGATGTAGATTACGATGCGGATTTACCTAGCGCGTAAATTCGACCCGCCTTTTCAAGGCGCTGTACATGTTTTTTATTGAGAAAAACAGTCGAGTCATAGGCAGAGGAGAAGAGGAAGGTATTGAACCTTGACTTGAAAAGGGGCAGGAAGTCAACACGAATGGCTGTGGGGAGTTCCAGACTATGAGGACAGCAGAGGAGAACGAACGATCTCCCACCGAGGGAAGGTCGCTTGACGGCTGTGATAGAAAGCATTGGTTTCTGGAGCTGAGAGTGCACAAAGCGGAATAAAGCGAGATGAGAGAGGAGATGCAGGCAGGGTGCGAGTCCATCTTGAAGACGGTGGGTGCGATCTTATACAATTTATCCGGGATTGTATTGGCAGCCACTTGGGGGTGGGATTTCAGTATTGGGGGCGATGTGATCCCATTTACGGATGTAGGTGAGATGTGTCGCGGTGGCATTTTGTCATGAAGGGCGAGCTCAGCTCCAGCGAGGATCACAGACGCGCGCATCGCGAGCTGGGATTTTATTCTCGATTTGCACATCAAGCAAGGCCGCCACAGTACGCCGGATGGGCGTTCCACGTGACCGGTGTGCCGCGCGTGATAATAATGTTGGTGTTTCCTGGGGCAAATATCCCCAGGTAATATTTTTAAACAGGGTATTTTTTTTTGCATGTAACAATAGTTTAGGAGCTGCAACAACTGTGCTATAAACCAGGCGAGGGGACTTCAGGTCAAATGTGGGCCACAGCTGACATCAGTGTCAAGTGATATCTTAAGCGGTCCTGGACACCCACCACCCCACTTCACAGCCAGCAGCACAGACCAGTGTGGCGGAAGATGGTAAAAAAAAACCCCATGAATAACAGACATATCGTAGGGAGGCCTACGTCCAGAAGTGCATTGACAAAGGGTTGATATTGTTATCCACCCTCGCATAGATTCAATTAATTATACAATTTAGGATTTTGATTCAATACAAGAATCCTTTCTTTAATTCATTTTAGCAATGTTTCTTGTTTCTCCGTCTCATTTGAACACATTAGTTTTGCTTCAATACCCAAAAGTAAATCGTGTTATTTGTATAATCCACAAAATAATAACATATTCTCAGACAAGATTCAGGCGTGCACCGCGTGCAGAGGAGCACGTCGCAGTCGGTGAATTGTTGCATCCGTTATGTGCACACGAGGATAGGATGAGTTTCAGGTATAATTTTCACATTTTTGGATAAAAATGTATTAAAACTTGACAAGTTCCACTCTTTACGTGAAAAATGTGACGACCTAAATGACTTGAAATACGAATCAATAATTCAAACATCTTTACAAAAAGTTCCAACAAAAACACATCTTTGATAATAACATGTATATATGTTATTAGCCATTCTGTCGCTTGGGCCTCTATTTAAGCACTATGAAGAAGGTGCCATTGCCCAAAACGTCACCTACTATAATCTCTAACCTTTTAGACCACGGTGTCAATGTGGCCTTAAAGTTTTTTTTGCTGTTTACCTGTTAATAATGAGCAAAAGTCACGTAACGTGATGGCACTTTTGGCAAGAAAAGCACGTGTATGACACTATGACACCACTGAAGCCATGTCACTTCTTGTGAGGTCACATTTTCGGATCAAATTCTAAAACACATTCCACCCCCCCCTTGTTTGTTTCATATCCAGGACCGATTTCGCATATTTTCCGTTTCATCCAAAAACATCCATAGTGCATAGCATATGTATGGCTGGCTTCTCATTGTTGAATGAAGAGACTGGCAGAGAAAATTAGGCTTCGGGAGTATAATTATTATTGTGCGGGGTCTCTCTCTCTCACACACACCTGGCCCTGCGCTCATGCTTACAGCTCATATGACAGACAGCCCAAGAGCCACTCAAACAGCCTGCAGCTGCTTAATCAATGCAGAATTCACACGCTGCTCTGCACACCTACTGGGCTCTTCACGGCAACCTAAGCCAGGTTCACACTGGATCACTCACGGCAGAAAAAAGGGAGCGGAGCCAAGGCCTTTGAAGATTTTAAAGGAGCAATGACGTGACGATTAAGAAATCGTCAAACACAGGATTGTTAATCTAGTTGTGTTGCATCATGGGTAATTAAATGCTAGAAATTCTACAAAATCAATTATCGGTTTGCCACACACATCAAAATTTCTAACAATAAATGCCCAGCCGTACGTCTGCATCTGTCGGAACGCATTGCTTGGTGGCTGATGAGGCCCGTCGCTGCTGCCTTAAAATCTACAATCACTTTACAAGCCTAGTCACGCACCGCGTGACTCGAACGTTAAGTTCCTGTGTGATGATGTGACTGCGTTTTAAACAGTGTATCGCACACGATGTTCACTTAAGTCCAAAATCCTTTGTGAATCAAACCCCTTAATCAACATCCGCCACAAGACGTCCCATCCAATACGCGGTGTGATTACGCAAGCAATCGGCAGTATCCCTGCATTGCAAACTAATGACAGCCCAAAAAGCTGCCGTGCGCTAAATGAGCAACTCATATCCTAAACTATAACAAGTGGACATGTAACAATTCAGCCCCCCAATGATTTAGTATGGTATGGAACACAGTTTAGATTTCTTGTTTATTGTAATGCATCTCATTTGTGCCGTTTCGTATTTCTGGTCTCGTTAGCTCCGTTACCTAAGCTGTAACAGGAGCACATAGTGTGCTTAAAATAATAAAACAATGCTTTGGTCGTTTTGTTATTCTACTGCTAGATGCCAGCCTCTTCATGATGTCAGTCTTGGGGGGGGTGTTTGACTAAAATTAACCACGCAAATCAGTGCGGGTTAGAGAAAATGGGAGGCCACTCGCCAATTTTAGCCATATCCGAGAATCCAACTCAAGTCACCATGTTCACGATGTGGTGTGCTAACCACTCCCCTATAAAATGTGCATGAAAGATAAATAATGAAAATGCATGCAAAAGAGTCAACTTTGATTAATTAATCGATTGTTACATGCCTAACACAGCGTGTCCGCGAAATGCATTACTAATTCATATCCGTTTTACTTTAACAAAACACCATTATTGCCACGAACATTTCAAATTAACACAAGTACAAGATGCTGAAATATATATGCTTTCCATATAAAAAAATATATAAAATTGCAAAAATCAAGGCCAAATCTGGAAGGTAAAATGCAATGCATCCATAGCTACTGTTTATCACTAAAATGGGACGACCTGCCTCATTTCTACGCAGCGTGGAGACACAGCTAGCAACAAGTATTACTTTGCACGCTGTTACATTTTTGTGCTCTGGGATTGCGATTAAAAAAAAAATCCCCCAATACTTTGCATGCAGACACGGTATATTTGGCAACGTTGTTACTTCAAAGACACACTCTAGCAAGCATCGCTTAAAGGCAAAAAGCGGAATATGACGCCTGTGCATTCGAGGCAAAGCTTTAGATGTGACGCATTCTTAACACTCCCACCTGAAGCTTCTTGATTTCCTTTTTAAGATCAGCCTCATACTTTTCCTTCTGGTTGATGTTGGCTGCATTATGCACCTGGAAAAGGCGATCGTGCTGGAATCAACAAAACTCCATCACAAGACGTAGTTACACACATATACATCAAACTTCACAAACATAGGAAATCGTTAAAATATATTGTATACACATCAACAATTGTAAATGGATGAAATAAATGTGTTCACGTTTTTGTTTGCATAAGGAGTGTTGGCGTAGCAGAAAGCTTCGGCAAGTGTAAATAATTGTGCTTTATAGCAATCACTGATGCTGTGATAAGCAGTTCTTTCGTTTTGCCGTGTTTGTGCAAAACCGAAATGAGTAACGCGTCAGTGCGATAGCCGTACCTTTTGCCAGATGTCCTCAAAAATCTCGACGCCTTCGCTCACTTTCTTGAGGCAGCGATCAATCTCCGCTTCACGGGGGAGCACAAAAAAACACGCGAGAGTTGGTGTGTGATCGCGACATCCACCACCGCCCAGCCGCGCCGGTCGTATGGGTCGGGCCAAGACACCACCAGGCCACTGGGGCCGAAGACGACGACTTGGCCTGGCCACCTGGCCATCTGAGCACATGTCACCCTGCCACCCGGCTGCCTGGCAAATTATAATAAAAAAAATGAATGTATCTACTGCATAAACATAACCACATGTCAAGACACTGTAAAAAAGGGGGGGGGGACATGAATAACGTGCCCATTGGTGAAGATAATGGGTGTATTTTTTGTGATCCTGTTTCCGTGTGCGTTCGTGTCACAAAACTTACACACAAAAGCCCATGCAGCCACAAGCCACCTGGCCATTCGGTCATCCAGTCACCCTCACACCACTACTATTAACATTCAGCCACTCGGCCACCTGATCACCCAACCACCAGCCCACCTGGCTACCTGTTCAACCAGTAAACCTGGTCGTCACACCACCACTGGGTCATCCTACAACCAGACTGTCCGGTCACCCGTCAACCAAATCACTCGACCTAGCCTGGCGCTGTCACACGGGCCGCCACGCCAACCGATCACCCCGCTAGCACGCCGTCAGTCTATCATGCAACCCGACCGCATGGTCATCCCATCACCGTGCCCAGGTAGACAAAATCTCGTCCCCTCGATCTGCCAGCCAACCCGGCACAAGGCACTCTACCCGGAGGAGACCGGGTCCGCGCGTTCCTCCGTACCGACAACCGAGCGCCCCAGCGCATCCCAGGCTTCCCGCGAAGCCGCGCGCAGAGACAATCGCGGCTCTGGGAGCGCGCTCAGTGACACTGACAGCGGCGCCACACGCAGCGCGAACATCCCGGGCCGGGCCCGGCGCGCTCGGCCATCATCAACCAACACAGCGCCCGCCACAAACAATACACAGGCGCGCATACCCCCTCTACCCCACCTCCTCACCGCGCGCGCACGTCGCTCGCCACAACTCAATAAACCAAATGAACGTCCACGACTAACAACGTTGACAACATCGACAGCATCCCCTGTCGCGAACAGACGCGAATCTGTTCGCGATATTGTAACGCGGACAGCCCGACAGGGCCCCGTAAGGCCTCGGTCTCGACTAGAATGCATCCCAGAGAATCCCCGGGGGGCGAGCAGCTAGTCTAGCCCGAGGCCTCGCGGGGGGGGGGGGGGCCTTGACGTTGGATTTTTGCTTCCCGCACGAGAAAACTCACCTTGTAGCTTTCGCTTATCTGCCATATCCTACCGTCAGCGGCGTTCATGTATTACCATACTCTTCTTGCGGCGCGCTGTTCCAGACACAACGATAAACAACAACAATAACAACGGCGTTAGGTACGAGGTCAGGCCCAGGCTTTTAGGCCCAACGCCGCCGCCGCCTCCACCGCCTCCGCCGCCGAACATCAACGGCGCGCGCACAATTAGCGTCGATAAAATGGCAATGAGCAGTGAACATTTACTCGGTAGACTCGGCGATTCCAGGCAAGGCGCGGCAAGAGGGAAGCTGATGAGAAGGGGGGGAGGGGGTGTCAGGCGAGGAGGGAGGGAGAAGTGGCGTTCCCCACCGAGGAGGAGGAGGAGACGCGGGCTCTGAAAATGGCACCACCACCACCGCCCCCCTCCCGCTCCCCTACTGACATCACCACTCGACAGCGGCGCCGCGATCTCCTCTCGCCTCGCAGCGACGCGGGCGCGACGAACGCGAACCCACAGCACCGACAACAACGCAACAACGTAAACGCGACGGTGACACGGTGCCGGCCAGGCGGACGAAGCGACCGTGGGTGCCCGTACCTGAGCAGTACTCCCGCCGCTGCTGCTGCCGCCGCCGCTGCTCATGAGCTGATGGGGGATGAGTCTGTGGGACAGCTTCACAAGCGCCGCTCTATGTAGGCTCCTGGTGAAGCGGGAACGTGGCCAAAAAGGCTAACCACCACCACCAACCTCTCCACAACACGGAGGTCAACTAGATGTCGCTAGATGGACCTTCTCGAGACGTTAAGGGGTTAAGTTGCCGGTTATTAAACAGAGGCACGCGCGCGCGCGATCTCAACTGATACGGTGATGGAGGAGGAGATCGTCTCGGTGGTGGTGGTGGCGGTGGTGGATACGAAGCTTGAGAGGAGTCAAAAGTGATGGGATTGGAGTGTGGCCTCTACGATACGCGCCTGCAGTTGCGTCACTCCGGCAAAAACTTACGCGAATACGACGCGAAGCGTGTTAACAACAAAGAAAGCCGAAGACAGGAACCTTGACTGCTTCGCTTACCTGCAATCAGTGGCTGTCCCTAGGGGGAGGGGGGGAACGAGGAGGAGGAGGGGGGAACCCACCCCCCCCCCACCCACCCCCCCCCCACCCACTTGTCATACCGAAAACGTTTATTATAATTATATTTGGACAAAGAAAATGTATTGTATGTGTTTTTTTAGTTAAATTTATTATTCATGTGAGACCCTTTTTTATTTTAATTTTAGCACCACCCTCCAGCCCTCCCCCAGGATGATTAAAATCAGGTAACATGGATACGAGTCACACCTGCTCCAGAAATTCGCAGATGTCTACGGTAAAAAATATATATCTAGATTCCTTCTTGTTCTTGCTAAGACATTGTTGTTCACGTGTCCTTAAATCGAGAAGGCAAAATCGCTTGACCTGTTCTATCGTTTGTTGTCGTAACCTTCTTAACCTGCCCCTGCTGGGCATCTGTAAAAAAAAGAGCTTCGTAGCTCATCGGATTTATTCATATAAATAAAGAATCTGAAACACACGTGCGCAGTCTGTGTGTGCGTGTGTTTGTTTGTTTGTGCGCGTCATGCCGTGGGGAGCGGTGGTGCAGTGGTTAGCGCGCTACGCCGCGCTACGAACCCGGCGACCCGAGTTCGATTCCCGCTCACGGCCACCTATACACCAGAGACGATTATCTGAACCGGTCCTGGGGCCTCCTCCCCTAGGTCGACTCAGCCTAAAACGAGTGCCTGGTGCGGTGTGTAAACATCGCCACTGGGGAGACAGAGGCTGTGTTGGCCACCCACCCCATCGTGTTGCCGTGTCGGCCTTCATAGGTGCTCGCTAACAGCAACTTGCCCCAACAGTCTGTTACAGGCTACACGTAGATGGGGGGGAGGGGGGGATCTCAATCTTTGTCATACAATAGACGCGGAATTGAATGGTCGACCGCAAATGTGCTTGCATTGTGCGAGACGTTATGGTAATCCCCGCAATGTGTCCTCGTTTAGCGGCGTATTTTTTGTTCCCTCGTTTAAAAAGAGGTTTCCTAATACATTGACATGCACGACCAATTCAAAACGGGGTTGTGTTTTTTTTATTTTAATCGGTGATTTTCTTGAGAATGAACTGAGCCACGCTCCAGGACTGCGTCTGGAGGAAACACAACACGCATCGGTGTGTGGGATTGGCGCGATACACAAAGGGTCCTCCAAATGCAATGGGTTAAGGACCCGCTTTCTGTACTGCACGGTCCACACATCTTCGTGTGATCCACCAACCCTGGACTCCAAAGCGCTGGATCACAAAACACTTAATTAAGCAAAACTACCAAATCCTGTAAAATCGAATTACAGCGCGCTGCGCTATGAATACTGTTAGCTGAAGTGTTCACCACCCTTGCCACTGACCCTTGCCACTGACCAGCGTGGTGAAATATGGCCAAACAACTATCGTGAACGACAAGGCGTGGGAAGGGCTTCATCCAGCAGTGGATTCACAAAGGATTGTAATGTGTTTCAATTATGACTTTCTTTTTTATTCATGCGAAAGCCGCCAACTTTGATGATCGAGAATAGCGAGGGGAAAGCGGTCAAGGGATGGAACGTGCCCGAGAGAGGACATCAACCAAGGGGAGATGGAGCGATGAACTCAGCTTCTCGTGTGCTGCCAGACGCTGGGGAGGGTTATATTACATCCCAGGATCGTGAGAGATGGCGACGGCTGGGGCCTTCATCCGGTAGTGGATAGATCATGGCTGATTAATAAAGAACGCCACCACGACTGTAAATGAATATCACCATCCTGTGCTATGAGTGGGATGGTCCCCCCCCCCCGCCATGGTAACGTGGAATGCCCACCAACAGATCCGACGAGTCTGAGCCGAGTGCAGCCTCATCCCCCCCGTCTGAACTGGGAGGCTCTTTGAGTTTTAATCAAGATAATGGGATCGGTCGTAGCGGTCAGTTATAGACGTCAGCCCATGGGGAGGGCCCGGTGGGGGGGGGGGGGTCATCCTCAGGGGTCAGCCTCAGTGCCGGATTCAGCTAGTGCGGGGTCTGTAGCATATGTTATAGAGGGGCCCTACATTTTAAAAAAAACACGTAAATATTACAACACATAAATGTTTTACTTGCATAGTAAAGTAATTTTAATTTTCATTCGCTATACAGCCGGATAAATACGACCAAATCGCGAACCTTAAACACCCAGTCGTTAAATTTTGATTTAAAGCTTTCGTGACTGCAGTAATTCATATGCTTAGCTCTTTCGGTAAAGTCACGTTGAAGGGAAACAATAAAATATATAAAACAATAACAAAAAATATTTGTATTGTTTTATATATAAAATATATATATAATAAAAACATTATTTTTATTCTATATATTTTATTATTTTATTGTTTCCCTTCAACGTGACTTTACTGAAAGAGCTAAGAATATACACCCAGTCGTTCATAAAAGTTTAAGGCAGTATAGTACTATAGTAATCTAGCAAGTGCAGAATACTCTTTGGTTCTTTCGGTAAAGTCACGTAGGCAGAAAAATAATAGATCACGATGTTTCGATCGCAACACAGGTTATTTTCTTGCTGTGGTGTTCCCACCTGATGACGATTGCTTGTTGTTGCGATCGAAACGTCGTGATACATTATTTTTCTACCCACGTGACTTTACCGAAAGAAACCAAAGAGTATGGATTCCTGCAGCCACGAAAGCTTCAAATCAAGATTCAAGTGCAGAATCACTGAACCGGAATTGATAGCTTGAAAGCATTGAGCACGGGGCCCTTGAAAGTGCGGGGCCCATAGCATATACTACTTTTGCTACTAGGATAATCCGGCACTGGTCAGCCTACACATACTTGCACCGTATATAGTAATATAAATACTGCACGTACCAGGACTCCTTACTCTTTGGTTATTTCGGTAAAGTCACGTAGGTAGAAAGATAATGGATCACGACGTTTCGATCGCAACCAAAGCAAATCGTCATCAGGTGGGCCAACCACAGCAGTTTTACTACTGCAGCAGTTTTTTTTTCTTGCTGTGGTTGTCCCACCTGATGACGATTGCTTGTGTTGCCATCGAAAGGTCGTGATCTATTATTGTTCTACCTACGTGATGACCAAAGATTATGGATTCCCCCAGGCAGTTTCAGTTTCAGTTTATTTATTTTGGTATAGCCCTGTTAGCCATTCGGCTCTTGAATCACAAAAGCTTCGAATCAATAATTTTTCCAGGACTCTCAAAGCATCGATCCGTGGTGTTCGTTGATCATCGTGACGACAACCCACGTTGCGCAATCGTCTTGCGTCACGAGAATATTGTTGGACCGCCTCCTCCGCCTCCCCTCGCACTTTAACCTCTGAAGCGCGCATCTCGCGAACCGAGCGATTCGGTATCGCCGCGATTCGGCATCTCAATTCGATTCGAGCATCGATTTCTACGTCTCATCTCGTTCGATCAACGAGCCTTCTTCGATCATATAGTCACGCTTGATCAAAGTGCGACTCGCACTCGTCGGATCTGGAAAGCCAAGCAGGTTTTGAGCCTGGATAGCGCTTGTGCGCGACGCACTTGGTGCCTGTTTGCTGTGAAGAAGGGCCGTTGCCCGAAACGTCACTTATTATACACTAGCCTTTTGCCCGTCCAAAAGACGGGTGTATTGCAGCAAATCTGAAACTTGCGAGCGAAAAGCAAACCCTGACGTGATATTTATTGCATTAATGCATGTGCATTTTGTAAGGATGCGGTGACACAGACTTATTTCATTTTAAGGCTATAATCCCTTGGGGGCCGTCCATAAATGACGTCACGCACCTGGGGGGGGGGGTCAGACATTTGTGACGATGTGTGACGAGGGGGGGGGGGTTGAGAAATGTGACGTCATATGAAAATAAATAAAGACAACACGTTCTACTTATATTCTTGGTTCTTTCGGTAAAGTCACTTAGAAGGGAAACAATAATATGAATCCCTGCAGTCACGAAAGCTTTAAATCAAAACGTTCAGCTTAATTAAATGGATTTTTTAAAACATGTTTTCTCCTACAACATCAGAGTGCAGCGGCACATTACATTCGCACTACAATGGCAATAGTTTAAAGCGATTATAAGTATGTTTTTTGGGGGGGGGAGCTTTGTGACGTCATATTAGAGGGGGGGTCTGACTTTTTGTGACGCCGTGTGACGAAGGGGGGGGGGAGTAAAAAATCGTCCAAAATCGCGTGACGTCATTTATGGACGGCCCCTTGTTCATCATGACGTCCTTTTTACTTTGATGTCTCAACAACGTTACGGAGATCGCGTGACGTGAGGATTCTGCCTTTGTAGTGAGGGTCGTGAGTTGACGCCGAGGAGGGGGGAGGGGAGGCGCCTCGGCCCCCCATTTGGAGTGACGTCACCCGCTAATTTTTATTAATGGGGGGGGGTCCATGTGGAGTGACGTCACCTGCTCATGTTTATTAATGAGGGGAGGTGCTCCATGTGGAGTGACGTCACCTGCTCATGATTATTAATGAGGGGGGCTGTTCGATGTGGAGTGACGTCACGAGCGTTACACACAGACATTCTTGGCTCATTATAGTAGGTAATAATAATGGGGGGGGTGTCCATTTGGAAGACATCTGCTCATGATTATTAATGAGGGGGGCCGTCCGATGTGGAGTGACGTCACTTGCGCATGATTATTAGTGAGGGGGGAATACTCCATATTGTGTGACGTCACCCGCTCATGCTTATGAATGAGGAGGGGTGGGGGGGGGTGTCCATTTATGAATATTAATGAGGGGGGCTGGTCGATGTGGAGTGACGTCACGAGCGGTAAGGACAGACATTCCTGGGTGATTTTTGTAGGTATGTCATTCTTTTTAAATGGGCGCGGTGCTTTTGACGAATGTGTTGAGTTTGTGTTTTGTTATCTATGCATAAAGCAGGATGCTATAGGCTGCCGCGGGCCTACATTGCCAACAGATGACAGTACAGACAAACCCAATGTTGTGCTGTACTATGCTCCAAGATCTATGCGCCCCACCTTTA